ACATTCACTCTGCAGTATGAAATCTGTTAATAGGTTTGTGTACTCAAGACTCAGGTCTGCCTTCAGACTGAGTCAAACATGTGCTGTCATTACCAGAAACAACCACAAAAAAGCCCAGAAGCAAACCATTCTTTGCAGGGAACACAAAAATGGACATTCTTTAGACAACAGTGCACAATGCCAGTTTGTTTTCCTGATACCACTCTCGGAACAGGATGGAGTTCAGAAACAACAAGATCTGTTTGACTGAGGCCGAGTGTGTTTTGGATCCAGCTTCTCTATACGAAAGGTCCCACTATGGCTGCTCCTCTGCATCCGTGCCAAACAGCATTTCATGTCACAGGGAGGCCTACTGATTTCAGTGAAGTTACTGCCAGAAGAAAGTATCTCTCCATTCAGGGGAATGCACTCAAATCTGACTAATTTCCCTATCAAGCTACTAACATCTACTGGAGTTCTTGATCTTTCTGTTATGTAACCCATTAGTGACTTAAATTTTCTCTTCGTCTATTCCACATTTTGTCTTCTATGCAGTAGGCACAAAAATACAAAGTGATGTCAGGCTAGAACAAAGCATTTATTTAAAAGAAAGTTATTTCCTTCTATATTTCAGGCAACTATCAGATACAGCAGTTTTCTTATCAAGCCAAATTTCACAAGAATTCCTCTTAACAATGCATATTTATTCTACTTTCCTGTCTTTTTTGAATGATAAATACTCATTCCTCTTCTTCTAGGCATACTCATTAATCTGTTTGTCAACAAATTAAATGCTATTATCTTGCCAATGCTATTGTTTCCAACTGCCTAAGTGCTTTGGTGCCTCCCCATGCACTCTGAACATGAGGATGCTGAATGCTCATTAATACAGAGAGTTTGTATTCCAAACAAGACATAAAACTGAGCCAAGAAAAGGTTTATGACGTGGCAGCTGCGGGTGCCCACTGCTGTGAGTTTTTAGGAGATGCACTAGAATGGTTTGGAGGTAAAGGTACTTTGTCTAGACAATCCAGAATGCTAAAAAGAATGGGATTTGCCATTTATCCAGCCCAAGCAGTTTGGACCTCTCTCACGCTCTGCTCTGGTGAGACCCCACTTGGAGCACTGCATCCAGCTCTGGAGCCCTCAGAACAGCGAAGACATGGACCTGTTGGAGCAGGTTCAGAGGAGGCCACAAAAATGATCTGAGGGCTGGAGCACCTCCCATGTAAAGACAGGCTGAGAGAGTTGGCATTGTTCAGTGTGGAGAAGAGAAGGCTCTGGGAAGCCCTTACTGCAGCCTTTCAGTACTTAAAGGGGGCCTATAAGAAAGATGAGGACAGACTTTTTAATAGGGCCTGTTGTGATTGGACAAGGGGTAATGATTTTAAACTAAAAGAGAGTAGATTTAGACTAGATATAAAGAATAAATTGTTTACAATTAAGGTGGTGAAACACTGGCATAGGTTGCCCAGAGAGGTGGTAGGTCCCCCATCCCTGGAAACATTCAGGGTCAGGTTGGATGGGGCTCTGAGTAACCTGATCTGGTTGAAGATGACCCTGCTCATTGCAGGGGGGTTGGAGTAGATGACCTGTAAAGGTCCCTTCCAACCCAAACTATTCCATGAATGTATGCTGAGGAGAGACTTAAACATTAATATCCCCATTTGGATGAGTGCTTCACCTGCTAGGGTAAGAAAAATAACCCTCATGGGTACTACTGAGCCTGTAGTGACTGGAAATGCAGTTTGGAGAGAGCATGGCCGTGGCTGGGGTCCTGGATCAGAGTCAGCCTCAAGCCTCTCTGTGAGTCCCCACGTATGCCAAGGTAGAGATCAGAGCATGTAAGTGAGTGTGAAAGTCAAACACTGAGGCATTGTGTGAGTTTAAGCACTGCCAGAGTCAGCTGATATCTGAGCAGCATTCAAGGATGTTAATCTTGGACTTCATCACTGAAATTCCACCTATGTCCTGCTTCAGTTTTATGCCTTTCT